AAATCTCCAGGACCCCTATTAGCTACGAGCTAACGACCTCCCCCCCTCCCCCCCCCGCACCGTACCGCCTGTGCCCCGGCTTACGCACTGTCGCACGGGCCGTGAATCGAATTTCCCCCATCGCCCTGGTCCCCGCCATCACACCTCGCTCGCCCTTTGGAAGATGCCCGCGCCGCCCCGCGCGCCGACTTTCCCAGCTTTCGTCGACGACATCAAAGAGGTAGACGACACCGACTTCGTCGACAACTCCCCGAAACCCGCTTCTGTAACGCAGCCGCAAGCCCCCTCCCCGCTCGTAACCATGACAGATCCCGCCACCCCGTCCGCCGCCGCAACCACTCCCGAGGTCCCCGTCGTCCCCCTCCCCGTCGCCCAGAGCAAGTCGAGGCTCAAAGCGATCGTCTTGTGGCGCGATCCGAAGATCTCCGCCATCGTCCTCGCCGCTTGCATGCTCTTCTTCTACTTGACCTTGGTCCGCGGCCTTTCCGTATTGTCCGTGATCGGTGCCTTCTCTGGTGCCTATTTGATATTGGGCATCATCATCGTCAATGTCAACAAGCGCACTGGAGGCAAGCTCAACTCTTACATCACTAGACCTGCTACTGGCACACCTTTGCTGCGTCGTGAAACCATCTACAGAGGTGTCGACACCGTCATCGAAGAATGCAATGAGGTTGGCGAGGAAATCCGCGACGTTCTCTATTGCGACAAGCCCCCGCTGACACTCGGCTGTGCCTTTGTCGCCTTCCTCGTCTACATTGCCGGCAACTACTTTTCTCTCCTCTCCGTCCTGCTCGTTGGAACGATCGCATTATTCACACTCCCTCTCGCCTACGAGAAGAATAAGAAGACAGTCGACGATGCAGTCGCCCGCGCCTCCGATGCCGCCGCCAAGCACATTGAGACGGGGAGAAAGGTCGCCACCGATAGGGCTGTCAAGCTTAGGGATGTGGCCGCCGCGAAGAGCGCACCATTGTTGGAAAAGGCGCCCCCCGTCGCCAAGAACTTGGCCGAGAAGTTCGGCCTCACGCCTGTGAAGAGCAAGAACCAGTAAGCCAACTTTGCCCTTCCTCCTCCACATTCGGATCCGAGGGGGGGGGGAGTAGTCTAAGATACGAGGGAATGGTTTGATGAGGTGGATGTATTACGCTTGTAGAAACTGAGAGGTAACTGGTTGTGTGCGCACAGCTGCACCGGTCCGGCTGGGCATATATTTTACGGGTCCCGCTGGATGGGGGGCGGTTTTGTTTGGGGGCGGGGACGCGGTATGGATAGCTGCTATGGGACACGTTGGTTTAGACGGTGGATAGTTTGTTTTCGGATTGCTGCCAACACTGCTTGTATCTATCGAGAAATAAAGCAGTCACTCTCGTGAAGTAACCAAGCTGGACAATGTGATAACCAGTCTAGTCTTTGGCGCAAGATGCGCTCCATCGCGTGATGCTCCTGCTCCGACGGAATAGTATTCTCCGACGGAATAGTATTCTCCGAACGACTGAGTCAATACGACCATTACTTGTACTTTGCTAGGCGGTGAGAAGACTCGGGTCAGCACGGGCCGACAAAACATTTGGAATAAAGCGGTGGCAACTGAAGCCTGAATAGACGACTGGATGGTGCCATGTAGGATGAGTACGTGTTTCCCAGATGTATGTATCTGCCTGACCTGGCATGTATAAAGGGAGCTGTCCATGCTGACATCGAGGCGACTCGAGACTTCACAAGAGCAACACACGCGGCTGTGGATTTCAAGAGGGCCGAGCCCGTACGATTTAAACCAAAAAATGAAGGAAATAAATTAAACAGATTTTCTGAAGTCCAGGGAAGCCTACTGTTCACTAGTGTCTAGGTGACAAATGACCTCATATGAGACCAGTTTTTAGGCGGGCTTTTGCAATTCGAATAATTGTAGAAATTTATCGCTACTGTAGTGAAAAGCTTACGACTAGAGTACTAAACGTTGGCAAACCAGAAAACATTCAATTCCGTATCTCAGTCTTCCCTAATCAACACTTTCGTCTTCCTCTTCCCTAAATTTCTTCAAAATGGTGAGCGTCAATGATCCTCGAATTATTGCAGGTAACCGCGTCCACACTCGTGCAAGACTGCTCACAGCTCAGAGTAAATGTCGCCTCATGTATGGAGCCGAGCCGCCTGGAAGATCAAGCTGGTCACGGGAACTGTCATTGGCATGAAAACTGACAAAGTGAAAGGTCGCAGTGTCACTTCAGTCAGGGCTAAATGGGAATTATCAGATGGCGTCAAGGAAATCACGCTTCGCATAGCTAACATTAAGGCTGGTGAAATGATGGACTCGATCGATGACGACCCTGAAGATCATATCCATCAAGAAACTGAACATTATGCGCGACCGGAGCCTTCAGAGGACCGTCTGACGCCACTAGAAGGAGCACTCAGCTCGAGTACGAGGATCTCCGAGAGTGACGGAATGGATTCCCAAGATGGCCTCATGAATGTCCACGGCCGGGCCTGGAAGCGTGAGGAAGTCACGGTGCATTTAAATGGTATGATACCGCCGAGAAGATGGAAGGTGATTGGATCGATTGATGAGATTATATCCCGTGGTCACAGTCCATCTCAAATGCATCCCATGGACTACTTCATGTGGATGTTCCCATAGGAGCACTTGGCGTTAATGGTTTCCCACACCAAGGATGCAATGGAATCAAGGGGACTTCGTTTGACTACAAGAGGTGAAATTTTGAAGTTTTTCGGGGTGCTAATCCTTATGACTCGGATTGAATTCAGCACCAGAAGGTCTCTTTGGAGCTCACAGGAAACCAACAAATATCTCTCGCAGCCTCAATTCGGAAACATCATCTCCCGCAGAAGATTCGAGGAGCTTCGTGAGAATGTCACGTTCAGCTTTCGAGCTGACTCAAATGACAGATGGGGTATGATCAGGGACTTCATGGTCGCAATCAATGATCACAGAGCATCTCATGTGATTCCATCACAGAACATCTGCGTTGATGAGAGTATGTCACGCTGGTGTGGACTTGGAGGAGATTAGATTGAAACCGGTCTTCTTCATTATGTTGCCATGGACCAAACACCCGAGAATGGTTGTGAGTTGAAGACTGCTGCATGTGGAAAAAGTGGAATCCTAATAAGAATTGAGAACGTCATCTCAGGTGAGGAGACTTCTTTAAAGGACTTTGAAAGTGACCACTTACACAGAACTGCAGTGACTTTGAGGTTGTTACAGCCATGGTTTCACACCAATCGTGTTGTCTGCGCGGATTCGTACTTTGCTTCTGTCTACACGGCTGAATCACTTTATGAGAAATGTCTTAGATTCACATGTGTGGTGAAGACATCTACCAAGAAATATCCGATGAAATATCTATCTCATCTGTAGATTGCTGAAAAGGGAGAGCACGTCACACTAGTTTCGAAGCCGGTGGCCGGACCTCACCTTATGGCAGTGATGTGGTTGGACCGAGACCGCAGATACTTTATTAGTTCTGTCGGAACATCCAACGAAGGAACTCTGTTCTACCGCGAGAGATGGCGTACACGTCATGGCGTGACAAGAAAAGAGTAATTGTCTATCCGTATTCCCTCAGTCTGCGAGCCGTATTATGAAACTTGCTCTCGAGAGCAATCTGATCAGATTGACCGCCACAACAGATCGCGTCAGGATGATCGCGGCTTGGAAAAGAAGTTCGAAATCAAGGAGTGGTCTATGCGTGTCAACACTTCTTTATTGGCCATTTGCACTGTGGATGCATGGAAACTGTATGCAGGTGCAAAAGGAGATGGTTCTAAGATATCTCCCAATCAGTTTTATTGTGAGCTTGCTGACCAGTTGATTGATAACAAATATGATCGTATATCGTTACGTCAGCGAGAATCAGACAGTGCTGTTGAAGATGAAGATGTTGGGTTTGGCAGTGGAATTGGTACTCACCTAACTCCAACCACTCGCAAGCGGAAAAGCGCATCTGGCGAGGAGACTTGTGCTCTTTATCAATCCAGATGCAATATTTGCAAAGGTACAAAAAAGTCAAAGATTAGTTGCTCAGCCTGCGAGGTATATTTTGGCAAAGAAGTATACCTTTGTCATCACCAGACTGGGCCTGACTGTTTTAAGAAACATGTCGACGAGCGACACGATCTTACTTACAAAGGTAAGTACTACTAGTGTTTAAGGCGTTCTCGGCCATTAAAACTGACTAAATTGGTCAGCATTTGAGTAAAATAGAGCAAAAAGAGATTAAAAACTCCTTTTACCCCCTATGGTTCTATCCTGCGTCTAAAGACTTGCTTGGAAGACCTGCAGCCGTTCCGGAATGCCCCTTTATGAGATGTCACCGTATTCAATTTCATGTTCGAATGGGCGCTATAAAGCGTCCTGGGTTGCAGGTCACGAACAAGAACCATCGAGATCCCCGAAAGGATTTTTCGACCACTGAAGTGCTCAGCGAGGAGTTGAACCCCGGCCTCTAAGACTCAGCGATCCTTGCAGACCACTGAGCTGGCTTGTCAGTTCCTAACTAGCCGTTTATAGTTGTCTTTATAGTCGTTCAAAGTTCTACTTCGTAAAAATTGTGCTCCTTTTGTTCTATACTTGCGAAAATCTTAAAGTTTGTTTAAATGTTACTGTAGAGCATTTGACTTCATATGAGGCGAATCGCCGGTCCTCTAGACATTGTGTTGGTTGTGGAAAAGAGGTTTGTGGCTCCCCTCTTGAAAGAGTGTCCGACCCTCTCTTTTAATTTAAGAAAATGCATTTTCGACATGTGGACATGTCCATCTTCGGTGACATACTTGGGGGATTCACAGTCTTGATCTGGGAAACACTTGATGCGTCATGCATTGCCCGGTTTACCAATGCAGCATCAACCCTTGTCCCCAGGTCAGGCAGTAAAAATATTTGCCGCATAATTTTGTTGATATGGCCGCGCCAGCAATGCTAGAAACCGAAAACCACCACATGATAACCACTAGCAATCGCCATGTCGTCTCGATTCACGGCGATTGCTTCAACCCCTTTCTGGTCTCGTTCCGGCATTTCCTCCCACCGCGACGCGGCAAGTCAAGCAAACCGCCTGCGCATTTCCACGCACCTACCAGTCATGCCGCGCCCATCAAGGGCCCGCAAGCCCACTGCGAAGGCAGCTCAGGCAACTCAAACAATTACTAGCCCACGCAAAAAAGCGGCCAAAGCCGCAACGCCGAACATGTCCACACGAACAACCAGTTCTTTGTCGTGCGCCACACGGATGACTCCAGTGACTGCAAATGCAACTGGAGTCATCAGCACCAAAACGGCAATGACGAGGAGCCGCAGGACTGCCTCAAGCATACAGCGACACACTCAGAATAAAACTGGGGTGGAGGAAGGAAAACGTTTCGACTCAGAGCATGGGCATGTAGCATGCTCCGTGGAAGCTCCGTCAGAGGCTTCCATTCAGAATAGCTGTGATGAAGCTTTGTGTTCATTCGTCCCTGAGCCTATTGGCGAAAAATATTCTGGAGCCGCAGCTGCACTCGGCGGCGTAACGTATATTCCAAGAGAAGCTGCATCCCCGGTGCCGACAAGGATATTGAATGGCAGCGTGACACGGATGGATGTAACACGGCAGTGGGAAGACCCATCTACGAATGATGAAGAAATGCCTGGGCTTCATACCAAGTCCAACGAGGCAGCTGCGTTTTTGCCAAATGTTCCACATGGCCCATTTGTAAATGGAAGTAAGAGTTACAACTTACAATATACAATATATCTTGTACATCTAGCTGTGTATACGATTGAGTCGCATATGAGGGGTAATGAAAATTATGGGCACGAATTGCGAATTAACGTCATAAAGCTGTCGCAACGAATGCTTCAGATTGATAACCGAGCAGGACCAGTTATAGGACTAAGCAAGACAGGTAAGCCAAATGAAGTGAAGCTGCAGAAAGTTATACGTAGGGTTTCAAAAGAGAGCGCCGTATGGCGACTGGGTGGCACCCCACAGGGCGCATCTATCAAAGATCCCGAGACCATAAGAAGATTACAAACCGACTACGCTCAGAAGCGAATCAAGGGATCCAATGTTACGTATGCTGGTTTCATCGAACACATGGAACGGCTGAGTGTTTTGTCGGTTGAAATTGGGACCTACAAGCCTCAAGGTGAACCCGTCACAATTGGAGCAACGAGGAAATTAAATAAACACGGAACTGCGTCTGTCCGCAAACCGACTTATGATGTTGACGAAACCGCATCCGTTTCTTCTGATGACAGAAGTGACTCTCCCTCTCTCCCCCCTTTGCAATTGGTTGAAAGAGATTCGGAAGATGACAACGGCAGTCCTTCGGCTGGTTTAAAGAGAAAAGCAAGAATACCTATAGAAGATCTGAATCCAACAATCACCCCGAAGAAGCAA